AAAAGTTTTACTTTCTAGAAAGAAAATATTTGCATGCAATCATAATCATTATCATTCTATTGCTAGGTGATCTTTGGTAAACTGAACTACTTGGAAAAACAGCTTTGAGATGTATTGACTAATAGAACAGAACTTTCGTTGGCAATATTCAGTTCTCATATGATTAATAGTAATGTTCAAATCTCTATGCATATGTTTGCAGTTATGAGATTAATGAACAGAGTCCTCTTGAAAATTATTCATTAAACGTCTTGTCTTCGATGATCGTTTTAACTCCAAGGCACTATGTAAATCTTAGGAAAATTCTTGTATACAACTCTGATCATCATCATTCATTTGCTACGTATGTTTGTAACATGTTACCTATTCCTAATGTTACCGTCGGAGTGACTTCAATATTTAAAGAGAACTCTCGTTATGGTTATTCAATTTTCATGTCCAATTGTCCCCTAGTTGCAACTACAATGTTTTTCTTTTCAGACGAATATAATACGTTAACATTATCTTGATGATCATTATTTATTTGTCGAAAGATTCTTGGTAAATTACACGTATCGAAACTTTTATTTTGAAGCAATCATAATACTTGTAGAATAGTCTCGTGGCGTACATTGTGTTCTTATGTTATTGCAGCTTGTGTTATTAATGTTAAACCGCGTGTTTGAAGCGATAAAAATTCTTGAATAGAATCAAAATCATAATCGTTCGTTTGTCATGTGCAATTTAATTAGATTTCAAATTCTGAATCTTGGTTTTTAAGTGAGCAAACTGTTGAATACGTGACTGATTAGAATAATTCATTTTTTTATGTGATTGTTAGTCAGTGATACTAGCTGAAGAGTTCGTCCAAATGCAAACAAAATTGCTGATCTAAACTGTTTTTAAAATTTGTGTATTTCACATCGGATCTTTCACCATGTTATCAGATGCAAACGGTTAATTTTAGGTGAAAAAAATATTGGAACGTATCCTGTTTGGAATCTTACGTTTATCATGTGATCTTCGATCATGGTTGTAGTTCAAAGCCTTTGTTCTCTACTTATCAGGATATTCGTATACAGTACTGACGATTATTATTGATTTGACATGTGATCCTTGATAATTTTCGCCTCAAAGTCTGTATTTTAAAGTGAATACAACACTTAAATAGAACCATCCTTGAATGATCAAAAAAACATTTATGCTTGAAATCGTAATAAAATACGTGTGGTATCACGTTTCAGTTGTTGTGCAGATGTGTACAAATGAATACTTTGTTTTCTTTTCTACAAAAACAAGAATGTTGATGTTTTTCTTTAAAATTAAATTACAGCATTTTCTTATTTGCAATTCTTTTTAATAGCATCAAAAGTTGACACTACGTTTTCTAAACAAAATAATAGGTAATTCTGTAAAAACAGATTGTTTGAGTCGTAATTCTGTACCTCTCAGTAACTTACGAGTAACTGAACCGCTTTTTCTCAAGTGGAAATAAATACAAGAACATGAGGTATTTGCATTGTTACGCTTATTATTTGATTACAAACCTTCTATTAGATCTGATCAGATTTTTTCTGTTGTCAATGTCGCTTGCAACAATTCAAGAGCATTGGTATGTAAAAGTTCTAATTCACAATTTCAAGTTATTTTGATCGAAAGTAGCTGTTGAAACCATTTTTGGAGGTAAAACAAACTTTTGGAATAGTTCGTATTAAAAGAAATGAGTTATGTAGAAAGCCAAGCGGTATCGGCGCTAGTTGATTAACTGAAGTTGAAATCATACAAAAATGTTGAGCCAAGATAAATAAAGCAGTTTGAATAGAATTATGTTCATTCTGTAACAGAATAGCACATTGTAATAATTCAACCTAACATGTAGATTATTGCTTGTCGTCAATGAAAATGGCCGTGATGCCCTTTTCCGTCTGTTATTCATTCACATATTTGTGTACATTCATCTCTTTTATTCTCCTATGTGTACTTTCGAAGTGTGCTATTAGTTTGTCCTTCTCTCGTACACAGTGTTATCCATAATTGAAATCGCCGTGATGTCTTTTTCCGTTCTTTATGTTTATCTCGTTCTTCTCCTATATGTACTTTGGAATCACATTTTTCATGTGGCCTTCTCTCGTACAGAGATTTCGTTTGTTTTTGACCAAGGGGGAAAAATTTTTTTTTCCCAAAGAGAAAATCCGCTGGAGAAAAACGATAAATTTTTCCAGGGAGACTTTCTCCCAAAATTTTAGGAGGGGGAAATTCCCCCTCCCCCCCCCCAATCGTATGGCCTGCTCTCATATATAGCGTTGTTCATAATTATAACTTGACCTTTACAACTGGTGTACCGATACTTTGCTTCAAGGTATTTTCCAATTTTTTGAAAAACTCCGTTTTAGAATGGTATTGTCAACTTTGTATCAGAAACACTATTCCCATCGACTGGAACCAATTCGTTACTCGTCTCCTTTCTCCCATTTGGACAGCACAGCAAGAACAAAAGAACGAAACCCTTAGTGAATTTGTGGTTCGTCGACGTGCGCTTTGGCTTAAGCAAAAATCTGATGAAAAAGAAACCGATTTTCTAAAATATCTGTTTTGTAAAATGCGACTAGATATGTTGACTCTTATAAACACCTCCCGTTCATCCTCTCTTAATAAAATCATTGTAGAAGCTCAACAAGTCGAAGAAATCCTCTATCTTAGAAACAAAAAGTTACGTTTACGCAATACGCCTCGACCCAACACCGAAGTTCATCGGACCAAATACTACACCTCTCATGTCAATATCTATACGAATCCACAATTCATTACAACGCTCATATTCTACGTCAACTACTCAATCTAATCCTAATTGTTGGCGCTATTGCGAAACTGCCCTCTCAACAATGCTAAATGAACCATTGAATCAGTCAACACTATCCTACAACCCTTACCTCCACGTTCAAAAAACAACGAGTTTTCGTCGAACAGGTGCACAAAACTTCTGCTACTTCCACCTGTAGTTAGCAAACTTCTCCTACATCAACATCATTAACACTCTACCGAATCATCATCTTACTTTACATAGTCGAATTGGTGCCTTGCCAGTCACTTTTCTGATCGACATCGGTTATTCGCTCACTCTTATCAACTTTAATGTCTTCCAATGCCTTGATCCTCGCCTAAAAAATTCCCGGCGTACACACCCTCCTTCTCCATCAGGGATGCCACCTCATGAAGTCGAAAAAGCGGAAAGTTGACTTAGAAAAGCGGAAAATTACGGAAAAAAGCGGAAACTTGTCTCGTTGCGGATTTTTAGCATTTATGAGGATTTTCAACTTTTTCATATCTATAGCATTCTGTTTTTATTTTAACAAAATTGCAAAACATAAAATATTGTTGAAATGAATGAGAATGACTATGCTTCACTCCATGGTAGACAAAAGTACCTTCTGCAGCTGCTGTTTCTTCAACCTTCGTGTTAGATTTCATAGTTGATGTTATCAATTGTCGGTCTATACCGAATGATTTTATGTTGTTGTTATATCTTTTCAACTTTATGTGACGATCAATATCATTTTTTCTACCATCACACACGGAAAAATGTTTGTTAGAGGCAATACAAAGAACTTTAGCTGAATCTGGTTTATACTGTTGTAAAAATGATGCGAACTGAGGATTAAGTAGCCATTGTGAATTAAACATGCCTTTCTTTATCTTTTGATAGGCACCTAGTATGTCTTCAATATTTTTATTTTCATTTGATTTCAGAATTGATGATGTTGTTATTAAATGTTCACGATCTGTTTCATCATTTGCAATCTCAATATCTTTAGATCATAAAAAACGTTTAAATTTTCGGATTGGAAATTATTTTTGGGTACATCCAGAAGGCAAACTAATTTGAAAAGACGTTAACTATCAGTTGAGAGCAGAATGATGCTTTTAATTCTCGAACAGACAATTAGTGCGCAAGTCCTCTAACATAGAAAAACTTTATGTGTTCGTTCATTGATTTTATGGATGGCATAATAAGAATGATGATTAACTGGATGTGTAAACAGTAAGACTTTATTCGACAATAATAAGTTTTGCTCCGAACATATTTTGAAAATACATCACCTTTTTATATAAAAAAGCGGAAAAAATCGAAACAGCTGGAAAATAGCGGAAACTTTCCGCATAAGTCGGAAGAGGTGGCATCCCTGATAGCACGCTGTAAAGACTTTCGTAATATCATTATTGTCTATTACAAAAACGGGAGAAAACTTCAGAAATCTAAAGTAATGAATCTTTTACTTCACCCATTTTCATTACTGGGTGATTTTTGTACAATAACCAAGCCATTTCGATTGAATCGCTGCATGCAATGATAAACTGTAGCACGATGTCCCTTATTAGCCACTATACTTTGGGTTTCTGAAGCTTTTTTCCGTTTTTATAATGGACAATAACGATATCACAAAGGTCTTTATGTTGTGCTATTCAAAAAAATTGATCGATACAATTCAAACATCTTTTTAATGTAAAGTAGTAGGAATTCTACGATGCATGTAATAATGAGCACAAAATAATGCATTCTATTGTCATTTAGAATAATGAAATATTTCATCCTCATAAAATGGTTCATTTTTAACCTTATAAAAAAAATCGTCAAATTGGCTCAATAGTATCTCTTATTACTATTCTTGTAAAGAATCCCACAACATATTTTTCGAACAAAAAACAGTCAAGCTTCTACGATTTATCAGTGTCGAGATATTTGCATAATCATATGTTGTTAGGTTCCAAAAGACATTTTGCACGTTGTATTTATGAGTGTTGACTTTGAAAATGTTAGCACTGACAAAAAAATCAACCTATTTTGATAAACACAATGAAGGGGTTTCTAGTCTATCGTATAAATAAATAAAAAAATAATAATACTTGTGAAGAGATTAATATGTCATTATATTCATTATTACATAGCAATTAAACAACATCAAAATTTCGTCAATAACCGAATTTAAAAAAATAATCAAAAAAAAAAAAAAAGTTTTGCATGTTCATTTCGAAGAATATATATGAAAAATAAAATATTCAGGATTCGTTTTCAAAAAATATGCAAATCCATATAGTAATAATCCAAAACCTAACAAACTACTAGCAACTGCTATTGTATTTTTCCATGGTGCAATTTCAACATATTTTTCTAATAGCCATATAACAAACATTGTACCACCAATAGCTTGAATAAATGGTATTTCAAGCATTGGACCAAAAAACATTGTTGCTAGTCCACTACAAAATGCAATAATTTGTAATAATAAAGCTGCAAGTTTTCCTGCGTTCTGTTTAGTATATAAACTTGAACTAAGAATAAGCAATCCAATAAAATAAACAAATGTTCCTAAAAATAATAATGGTCGAGTAAATGGTATTGTTAATATATTTGACCGTTGTTGAATATGTAAAATACTTCCAATAAGAATTAAAATAAATGAAGCTATTGTTGCACTTGGAATAACTTTTTCATTATGAAAACCAATTACAATAATTAATTCTCCAACAAATATTATAAAACCTAATGATGCTTCTAATGCCATAACAGCTAAATAACCTGCTTCACGATGTTGTTGATAAATAGCTACAATCGTCCAAACAAAAAAACATATCCAACATGCTTTTAAAACAGCATGTCTATCTCTTGAAAAATGTAATTTAATTGTAAATGATAATGTTGCTAGAAATGTAAGACAACCAAAGAAAATTAACCATGAATTATGATTTAATATCATTAAAGATATTGATATTATATAAAAGAATATTTCCCAATAAATAGCTGGTATATGAACTAATATTGGTAATATATAGATACCAATTAATACGGTTAGCGCTATAATAACAGTAATACCAGCTAATATAGCTATTATGTTTGAAAAAGATACAATCAATTCTCGTTGTTTCCATGTTATGAATTCTTCCTCAGTTAATAATTCTTTACTCCCGACAAGTTTTGATGCATGTTCAATGTATAATTGTTTTTCATTAGCAGCAATTTCATTATTTAAAATACCACGTTTTTCTAAATTTTTGATTACATCATAATATTGTTTAAGTTCATGAATTGATTTTGGTAAAAGATTAACACTATTGTCAGATACAGCGATTGTTAATATACAAAGAATACTAATTAGAATTATTATCCAATTAAAATTTGTCATTCTTATAAAAATTGAACGATGAAATTTGATTGTCACCTATATGTTTTTTTACTCATTCAATATTGGATATTGAAGCTGCAATGTTCGCAATGTAAGTAAAAACAAAAAAAATGAATCGATGTATAATATATTTACCTTCCTTTCGCCACGTTGTCAGGCAAAGCAGAGAATTGCACCATAGGTGAGTAAATACATGAGTCATTCGATTTGTTTTGTTGAATTAGTTTCTAGGGACTTTTAAAAATATATATTAAAATGATATGTTGAATGATGAAGTAGAGCTTTTCATTAATTTGATTCCATGATTTTGATAGAATATCAAGTTCATTATGTCTGTTTGATTGAAATGTCCGTTTTTTTTAATTTCTTTTGATACTAAAGTCATGACATTCTTTTTTATTCTTTATAGCCATGAGTAACATATTATTAATCGTGTCTTCTTGATTGCAGACATTTTCTCTTAATTGGTGACTGCAAAGCAGAATCGCGGGGGGAGAGAAAAAAAATGCCTGCAAAATGGAAACGAGGAAGAGAGACGAAAAATGACTGCAAAGTGTAAATGAGGGAGAGAAAAACATCTGCATTTTGAACAGAAGCGAAAGTAAACGAATTCAAGCAAAACAAGTTTAATAGATGGTCTATTGGATCTTAAAGATTATCAACAAAGATTACGTTCACTTGGTTATCGATATATCAATGTATTCGATACATTTGACAAGGATGATCTTGACTATGAACCTCAACAAAGTTAAATGTTCATTTGTCTTTCATTAATGATTTTTTTTTGTATATTCTTTTCATATAATAAATAAATCTTGATTCCACAAAGTGAACCTGTTCCAGTTAGCGGTCATTTTTGTCTCTCCCCCCCCCCCCCCCCGATTCTGCTTTGCAGACATTTTCCCTTAATTGGTGTCTGCAATCAAGAAGTAGCCTTATTAATCTAATCGTTACTAACTTTTTCTACATGTGTATGCAATTTTAAAAGTGAAATCTTTGTTTGATATGATCAAGTTAAACAATGAAAACAAACGAACGTCTAGTAAATAATAAACAACCTGGTGACTGTTACAAAAAGAATATATGTTTTATTAACGGATATGAATTATTGTAGACTATAAGATATCTTTCCTGTTTGGTTGACATTTTCTTAATTGTTATATGTCGTGAACACTTTTTTCTCGATCAGTTAGGATTTCTAATGAATGATAATTATCTGTTTGAATATATGTCTTACTCTTACATAACTCATATTTTCGAATTTTGATCTGCAACTTTATTCATATAGAGAACTCAACTAAACTAGCTTTCATTAAAACGTCAGAAGTTTTGAAAAAAAAAGTCTCTTCGAGATATGAGTCTTTAAAAAAATGCATGTAATTTATAGTATTCATGAAAAAGATTCTCTATTTTGAAGGTGTCATATATCGAAGAAACTTTCCTCTGTATTGAAGTAAAAATAGTACCATATTAATTTATTCTTAATGAAGAAATAATAGATTTTAGTTCAATATCTTATCTTCTTTAGCATGAGCGCATGATACCAGTATTATAGGCTTACAAAAACAATAGATCCGTCGACGAAAACAGGACTGTTGTTGTGACTGAATATTCTCATTTAATTGAGAGGAAATCTTCGACCACTTTTGATCAGAAATTCGAGATTCATTTCCCTCTTATTATTTGTTAGACGTGCTTACAATTTGATAAAAGGTGCTGAATTTCCTCGAAATCAAAAGAGTTCGTATTGAACAATGATGAATTCGAATGGATACCACATTCATAAGTTCTAATCTAATCAGTTAAAAACATGAAGTCATCACTAGCTGGTGAAGGTTACATCGATGACACTTGTTCTGAAAGATTCATGCTTGCATTTAGTAAATGATTTAAAGTGGCTTTCTGTGAGAGCACTCTATTCTGGTGACGGTCTGTTTTGAAGCTAAAACTACATCTCACCAACTGATTCAACGTGTTGAATCACCCCTACCTAGCTGCATTTTCGGATTAGTGAAAATCACAAGTTTCTGTGATGTTTCTATCACACATTATTCAAAATAATCAGCAGCAATTTGCGTCCATATCGTCTTACGATTTTCGTAGTCTATTGATCTTCTAATTAATGCACAAAAAAAAATGAGTTTGAAAACTTTTTAACATTTCAGACAGATTCCTCTCGTCAGGTTTAAAAGAAATCCATGTAAAATAAGAAAAAATACTTTTATCTATAACCATATAAAAAAGAAATAACGAAGATAATCAATTTATATTTTCAAAAAGCTACTTTCATATTATTAACTTCAAACTGAGTATACATTTAAATATAAACGTATTTTAATTGATATTGATTATTATTTAAAAGTATATTTTGTACGATCCGTGATTGATTATAAATTTTTTGTGAATCACAGTTTTATATTGATTTTTTCAAAGTAATATTTGCAGAAATACTTGATAAATTATGACAAAAAAAAAACTCTAACATTCTCAAGTGAGAATGATCAATAAGTAGTAAAATATTTGTATTTGCATGATCAACATGTTATTGTTTTATTTTTATGCCATAATAAGTTTTATTCTTTGATGTACAAATAAAGCAATTTTGTACAAGATGAATATTTTTTTTTATCTAAACTCGAATATAATATTTGAATTTATCTAAAAGTTTTCTTTTAATGCAAAAATAATTAAAATTAAAACTGTATAAACCGAACTCAACATACAAAGTCAACTAATGTTTGCGTGTATAGTATTGATTGTACTTTGATAAAAATTCATTAATATCCACTGGAAAATACGTGATCTGAGTTCAAAAAAAAAGATTAAGATTTTACCTATATTTTGATCTGTCTAGATTATGTATTATTTCAAATAGAATTAAGTTGATATGAATAAATATTAGAGTACAGAAAAGAATGATCTAGTAAACCAGCTCACTATCTGTCATCACTAATGCGTGTATTGACTCAATGTAGAAGAAACCCTGACAAATATGTTTGACACATGACAAAATTTAAAAAAAAAAAAGAATCAAAACAAAGAACAACATCGATTTTTAGAAGTTGATTTTGATCGTTCTAATAGATTTCCACTAGTTAATACTTGATCCATTTGATAAGATATTGGTGCTAAAAGATCATTTATTTTAGTGGTATCTTCTAATGTAATTGGTGTTTCCCATGTAGAATCAATTTCAGATTCGAAATAAGTTATTTCTTCTTTTCCTTTATTTATAGTTTTGTTTGATGAAATACTTGATTTAATTTTTTGAAACTCAGTTGCAATATGTGCAATAGCTTCTGTATATTTTTTATCATTTTGCCATAATTGATTTGCTTCCGTATAAATTTTATTAAGTTGATCATATTGTTTAATAAATATATGAAAAAAATATGTATAAGCTTTATCAATTTCATTCATTTCAATTAAAATTTGTCCAAATAAAATTTCTGGTTGTTGCCATTGAGTTAATGTACAAGTAGTACGTTTAACATGTGAAAATTGTTTAGATAATTTAACACATTCATGTGTACCAATTAATTGTACAATCCATAAATTTATATCATGATTAGAATTAAAAACTCGAATTATTTTAAATGTTGGTTGATCAGCTAATTCAAGTTCAAAAATAATTGAAACTTCATCACTACGACGAGAACAACATTGTATTGATTGATGACGAGCATCTTGTATACGATCATGTCCTTGATATTGAATAAATGAATTAAATGAAATAATATTATTTATATTTGATTGAAGTTTTTCAATTAAAGTCTTTTTTATAACATTTCCATAGAAAATTTTTTTATTTGAAATTTTTCTCTGTAATAAATTACGAATAGATGAACGAAGTGTATATAATGTTATTAAAGGATCATATTCCATTTGTCTATTAATATTAGATATATCGATTGGTTGTTTCAAATGATCTGTATCAATTTTAAATGATGTTTCTTTTAAGAATTCATACCATAAATATGGTTCTAAATTACCAGTAATAAAACGAATAACTTGTCGATTATGTGTTTCTTGAATTAAAATATCTTCAAGTGCATCTTTTAAATCATCAATTGTTGTAAATAATCCAATAATATGATCAATGGATTTTGATTCAATCATTAGTGGTTCATAAATTTGTCTTGTAAAATTTTGACAAAAAATAAATATTTTTATTCTATGACAATTTTGATTTGTAAGAATTTCTTTAATTGAATTAAAATCTCCAGTAAGTATAAGTGCACATGGATAAAATTCAGTTGTTTTATTTAATAATATGCTTTTTATTAAACATTTACCATCATTAAAAAATCGTGTTGAAAAATTACAAAGATGTTGTTTTAAATTGGAATTATTTGATTTATCAAGACAAAAAAGGAATGGTTTACTTATTTCATTAGTCGTATTCATGGTTGTTATGTTCATATTTTAAAAAACGTCAAGAAAACTTATTATTATTCATGTTATAGTGAGAGAAGAAAAACATATATATATATATATATATATAGATGTTCAAATATTGACCTATGAGTTTTTTTTAATTCTGTCAATGACAATCTGCTTCTCAGAATAAAAAAAAAAAGACAACGAAGATGGCTAATAAAAAATGCATGCATTGATATTATGACGTCAATTGCAAATTGTCTCTATTAGGAATAAAAAGAATAATTTATATTTATGACTTTCATGATAATTTTCAATTAAACATGAAGAAACTACTTCGTAAGATATTAAGAACATTTGCAAGAAGCTATGAGCAAGATTCGATGATATTTATTTGTAAACTATAATATTAGACAAGCTGAATTTTTCCTTATGTATTTGAACATGAATGACGATAATTGGTTTATTATTTCGATTTTTTAACTTTAACTTGTATATTAATGAATTTCTATTGTGCAATTAGCTATAACATTGAATTAATATTATGAAATCGGTTTGAAGTCCACTAATTGACAATTCGGTCATACATGAGACCCTTCATTTAGATGGTGAACGATCACGATACAATGAAAAATTAAGGCGACTGACTGACTGCACAAAATACACTAGCCGGCACACTCTTTTGGGGCGGGTGTACGGTGTGGGTGGAGTGTAGTGTGGATGTAGATGTGGACGAAGAGAATAACGACACCCACACCATTAGTCGCCAAATAGTGGTTCCCTACCATCTGCAGGCACTTATCATATCTGCTTTGAACCAATTTAACTCAATCCAACCATCAGCAGTAGTAATCCATTGCCAATCACCTATTAAATTATGTACCATTTTGGTTCTGTTCTCACTTTTACACGAACATTCACTTGTGTTTTAAAGAATTCGTATAATTATAGTGCAACGTCAAGCACTCTTATGGGTTCATCCACTTATCCATAATAACTATTTACGATTATCTATTTTAATTGTTCATGAACAATTTATCTATTGTCTTCTAGAAATAAAAATAAGAATCATTACAAAGACTTTCTTTTTATAACATATCAATATTTATATTGTATCTTTATAGAAAAGCTAGAATTTTTCCAAAGTTAAAATTTCTCAAATAGTACTTACCGTTTTTAGGATAGTGTGTGACATGGGTGAAATTATCATGACCCGACCCGACAAGAGGCTCAACTATTTTTTTGTGGCCTCATTTCGAGTTTACGATTTTTCTTTTTCTCTTGAAAAAATCAAATTTTCGAATCTTTTTTTTCTCTTTTATATCGTAGTTAGGAACAAAGAATATATCTTTGACCTCTTTTCGTCCTTAATATGTTGTCGATATTTCTCAGTTATGATCATGCGATTACGTGGTCGAAAATTTTCTCGTTTATCTTTGTTTTCTTATGTATACAACCTGCGACCTTTTTATCAATATTGAATAGAGTGTAGTTGCTATGCATTGTAGTCCATTGTTAATAAAAAAAAAAAAAAGCAGTAAAATAGAAGAAAAGATCACACAATACGTAACTTATTGTTCTACTAAGCTTTACGATACTCTCCTTTAGAACTTTTCAATGAAGATAACATTTGAAATGCGTTTTGATTTCACACAATGTTCAGACCGCAGAGCCACCCCGAAATCCAAAAAGTTTCTCGTAATCCAATCTGACCCAATCCGAGGGTGGAGTGTGCATGTAGTCGTGGATCTGGGTCTTGTGATGTGCTCTCAATATAGAATTTGTGTATATTGGGAGTATAGGTGTCAGGCTATGGTGTATGATGAGGTTTGTGAATCTGTCAGTGTGATGAGAAGCATTCCATGGCATGTACATCCACATCCTCATAGATACTCTCAGTGATACGCAAACTCACACCGGCACTCACACTCACTCTTGTACATACTTTTGTTTATATTATACAGAAAGAGTTGAACATTCAGTTGAAGCTCAAACGAGTCATAACGACAAGCGTTACTTATTTCGCTTTTGTCCAATTATTCATAGAAAAATGGTTTTGAATAACATTTGGTATGCTTTGAACATTATCAACGCATGATAATGAGCTAATAAATTAATAATAAATATAACTTTAATATATGACTTTACTTTGCTTTATTGAGTAAAAGGACCTACTTTATTTTACCGAGTAAAGTAAAGTATTTGTCTTCTACTTTACTGGACAAAGTAGAGATGAAGTCCCATCCCCGATTATGGTAAATGAGTTTCTAGATTTTGATTAGTCTAAATGTCAACATAGACCATACCCTATAGATTGTAGATTTCTTATCAAAACAAAATGGGAAGCCTCTTCAAAGCAGAGTCACTGCTGTAGTGTGATGACCGAAAAAAATAGGCTGCTAGTGCTGCTGCAATAGTGTTTTGAAAAACCTAACGTCCCGCAGTTATTTCTTTAAAAATGTGTCGCTGTCATGATGTTCTCAGCGTTATGATGGATATCTCTGCTCTCTTAGATCTTTCGATCAAAATTTATTCAAGATCAAAGACCTATAGAGAGACATATAACCCCCTGATATATCATGAAAAGATTTTTTTTCCAAAATTCTTATGTAATCTGCATCTTTCAATGAAAACCACTAAGTAAACATTTTTAGCCAAAATCTATGGATCTTAGTATTTCTCTCAGCACATAATCTTCGGAATTTGGCTTTACAATAATATTATTTAAAATAAATTCATTTTGCAATAAAATTGAGTTCTACAATTGTTAGAGCTATAAAAGTATTTTGGATATTAGATCTGTTATACCTTGAAGCTTCTTTATTCGATATCTCTAATACTACTATACCATCATGCTTAATATCCTTATACTTCTAATACTTTGAACAACTGCTTCAATTTTCACAGACGTTAATGTTGCACTGTTTTTGAATGTGCCTTATAGTCAAGTTTTTTCATCAACTTCTCAGGTCTGAATAGGTCAAAAAAATCTGCAGGTAAAGAAAAGAACGAACAATTGCAATACGAAAAATAATTGATATTTCTTTTTTTTCTCTTAAGGACTAAATCAATTTGCATTTCAATTCAAAAAATAATAATAAAACGAAAACAGAAACTGTCACATGTTTCAAAATAAAACAAGAATGTACAACATCAATCATTCAAAAAATATTTGATAACAGTTATACAATAATTTTAGTCCTGATATCCTCCTCTCATAGCAAAACTATTTATGAATTATGACTCCATTTCATATTCTTTGAACACAATTTCGAAGAAACATCTTAATCTTTGTTTTTATAGTCACGAGCAAAAAAAAGATTTGTACATAGCTCAAGTTGTTTTTTGGTCGAAAAAATACGAATGAATAAAACTTTACTTTTAAGCTCTCTATGAAGCCTTTAATTTATGCCTCTCATATTTTCTTGCAACGAAGAATTTGAATTTAATAATCAAGCCTTGAATCTCATTTAACCATATATATATACGTATATATACAAACAATAAATTTCGCCTCTTTCTTTTATTGTTTCATTGAATCGAATAAATTTTAAAGAGAAGATTGTTTCACTAATATATGAAATACAGAATATCGACAGTAATAATCTATGAACGGATTGCTTATCTTCATCGTTGATCGGTTTGAAAGATAATTATTTCCAGCTCTATTTTAGTTTCAAATCAACAATGCAACACACTTATTAGAGACACAGCAAGCATCAATAAACTTCGTCAAATTTCAATATCTGAGAAGGATCATCTATGAATTACGATATCAAGAACCAACCAACATTTTAGAAGGGTGCAGTATTACATAGACGTATCGGAACTTTATAGATACTACTTCTTCTCAAAACATCAATCGTCCACAATGACCTTCAATAATAGAAGAAGATAAAATTCACAACGTTGAATATGTTTTGGCTAAGGAACTAGTCAACGATGTCCACAATGTTAATCAAAAAGTGGGCGTTTCAAAATATTAACCGCATCGAATAATACACGCTACCATCAGATTCAAGCTGCGTATGATACGCTATATTCAACAGTTACATCAACAAGACCATACAAGAATACGTTAATGATGCTGTTATTTTTTTCAGAATCAAATTTTTATGTTTGTGCAATTACGATCAACCATAATTATCTTAGTGAATCAGGAAGTATCGATTCATACTTGTTTGAAGATGAAACGAGCAATGATTATAATTATCTGAACATGTTCAAACCTTATTTCTATCTGTTTGTACAAATGAGAAAAAACATAAGTCGATGATTTTGAAGCAAGATTATGCTCCATCTCGTTGTACGAAAGAAGTTCGTGTTAGATTAAATAAAATTTTTTATAAAACACGAATTGAAAGAGGTGGACCAATTTCTTGAACATCATAATGTCTAAGTCGAGATGTATCGAAACAAACGCATACAAAACCATAGTCAAAGATACTTACGAGTTGAAGAATAGAATTAAGAAAGAAGTCAGAGCTATAAAGAAAAAGATATCAGGTATAGTTATCATTGATATTGTCACAAGTTTGCAACTTTGTATTGATGTGAATAGGGACACTTTTAGATCATTCATAAGAACTATATTTATGTTGGAAATAAGTGTTGAAATATTTCTTTTTCAAATATAAAAGATTTATCGATTTTGGTCAAGGAACAGTACGAATATAAAAAGTCTTTTTTTGTAGATTATTTGTAAGATATTCTTTTAGTAACTTTAATAATGGTAAATCGAGCACATACACAAACGAATCGAAGTAATCTTGGTCGAGTATTGTCCATTGGGCGGAGCAGAACACGACATGTTACTGTAAGATCATTTTCAGAAATGCCAAAAGTTGTAAGATTATCTCGCCGTCATCGTCAACAATCGGTCAAAACTCTAGTAGGATTATTTAGAATCATTCTTGAAAAACTTTTCTTTTATTTAGAGCATTCTTCAATCAAAAAAATTCAATTTTCAACATGTTAGCGTGACTCGTAAAATTCGTCCAGCCCTGAAGAGCACTTGTTCTGGTAGTCAAAAATCAGCAGATGTTGGTGATAGTTTGGAACCAGTTAAATCTTTTATCTGATTCATCTTCCATAGTAATTTCTTTCTTTTCAAGGAAGTCTCAAGAATTATACTCGATTCTAATCATGGAATTCCATTGGCATACTTCTTCGCGTCGAATAATTCCTTTGCTTCTTTTCTAAATGCAAAAAAACGTAATTCTCGTCCATTTTCATTATTCCAAGTAAGACAATAGAAATTTCATATTCAATTCACAGTAACTCTAAAGAAACAAAAATCAGTCACCGCCTACTGGTACCAGGAAAGAATGAACGAAAAAAAATATTATTAAAGAATTGTTAGCTAAAAATAACAAACTCATTTATGTACTTAACTAGATCATTAGAAACCAATGATAAGTCTGACGAGTGATCGAAAATATCTGGTTTTTTTCTGTTGTTTGATTTGAGCCTCGGTTCCGCTACATAACTATCGAATAAATAATCGTCAGGAATGTTTTATCTATCGATCAGCTCTTTTTGACTCATCAAACAGGTTTTGACTATTCAAAAATCATCGGAATTTTCACTACTTCAAGACAAAGAAATCTACAGGAGGGAATGCTTTTTGTTAAACATACATCTGACTGGTAAAGCATGAGTTGCCAAGAAATATGAATATCCACCGCACGAATGAGCGGGAAAGTACCTACAAGCAGAGCAACCCATCAGCTGTGAATACCGAGGAAAACAAGAAAAAATGTATCGATCTATCTTGATCAGATTAATGGCCAAAATCGTTCATCTACTTGGAAAATAACGTTATTTTTTGCACAAGCGCTTTCTTCAATATATAAAAAACCAGTATTACTCATTTGCTTTTTTAATACTTTTCTCACAGTCAAGAAAACATCGATACAATTATTTCAATAATCATCCAACGTATACAACCAAAAGCATAAATATTCCACTACAACATGATCATAAGCGATCAGCAATAATTAAAACTTATCCAATAAATTATTATCAAGTAAATTCCACAGTTATTTTCTTCCGCATGTAAAAAGAAAAATCTTGGTTTTTTTCCTAGAATGCGGTTATAGAAAACCTCAATGCAATTGATCATCCCAATGTTAATAAAGTACCAATTTCTATTTCCTTATTTTCTTTTTCTTCTATTCAATATTTTTGATTTAAACTAGTTGATTGGCAATCAACCAGATCAGCAAGAATCGGCTGAGAAACGTCGTAGAAAAAATAACAATAAAATGGCAGGGTAAGTATTTTGTTCTATTCTTTTTATATATTAGATATGTTCAAAATGATATATTCAAATTTATTAGATGTTGTTGTGCTTGTCCACCTGTATGTATATTTTTCTCGATAGTTGGCTTTATTCTTCTTGGCGGAATTATTGCTGCAAGTGTCATAGCTTTAGTATCACAATCAACTAAGACAACAACAACAAGTACTATTATGCACATATTTACTTAGTTTTGAGTGTTAAAGATTCACAAGTATCGTTATGTCTATAGGATAATACCTTTCATATGTAGAAATGTTTTGTAGGATTGATAAGTTTCTTTGACTTAGAATAATTGAAAAAGTTACAATTACATATATAGAAAAATAAAAGAAACTATTCGATTAGAATTTCATCTATATTTTATACTTTGTCTCTTCAAGGTATTAGCTTAGTAGGCAAGGATATATTGTAATATACAATAATCTTTCGTTTATCTTCGATCTATTTGACAGTTTTTGAACATAACTAAAATTATATTATCATAATGAAATGATTTTTATATTGTAACTGAATAAAACACTTATGAGATTTGATGATATACATAAGAATATTCAAATTATATAATCATCACATGAAATAAAGCAAAGAAAAAAGGAAGTCTATGATGCTATAAATAGTAGAAAGCATTCTTAATTAAGTCGAATGCAATTAAAGAAAAAATAAATATAAAAAGTATTGTTTTGAAGATATCATAAGATACAAATATTCCATAAATATAAATTTCAAATTTCTAGCTATCAGTACCAAAACAACCACTTTAAGCAAATCGACAACCAGTACCACAACAACAACCACAACTGTATCCACAACGAGTACCATGACAACAACTACAACTGTATCAACAACCACTACCACAACAACAACTACAGCTGCATCAATAAGCAGCACCCAAACAACAAACACAACTACGGCAGTGACGACAATAATAACAGGTAGGTTGAGTCTAAGGATAACTTTTCATTAGATGAATATCAATTCTTATTTTCATAGCTAATTCATGTTCACCTTCATGTAATTCACAACAGACATGTATACAAAGTATATGTCTAAATGTAGGACATCTCGCATGTGTTTTGGTATGGTCTCGATCAGGTGATGGCGATATTGTAGTGACAACACCCAATGGGAAAACCATTAACTATCAAAATATAGGTCCTTCATCAAGTACTGATCAAGGAATATTGGATAGAGATGATACAAGTAGTACAGGACCGGAAAATATTTATTGGCCAAGTAGTGGTTCTCTACCACCCACAGGAACTTACTACATGTGCTTTGAATCGTATTCATTCAGTCCAACTATCAGCAGTAGTGATCCACTCACGGTTACCTATCATACTGTACATGCTTCTGGTGCTTTCTTCAATTATACACGAACATTTACTTCAGTTTTAAGTGATTCGTATAACTGTGGTGCAACTTCAAGCACTCTTATCGGTTCATTCACTTATCCATAATAACTATTTGCGATTATCTCTTTTTAATAGTTCATGAACAATTTATCTATTTTATTCTACAAATAAAGATGAGAATCATTATAAATGCTTTTTCTATATAAAATGTCAATATCTATGCCATATCGTTCTAGGGAATCTAAAACTTATTCGAGTAATACAATTTATCAAATATTGTTTAATGCTTCCAGGACGGTTAGCCACATTAGTTGTCACTAACTATTTATGAATAGTAGCGTATATTACATATGGGCGATCGGAAATAGTCGTGTATCAGATAATTTATGCTTGATGTAATGACCTACATTCAATGTTGCGTAATTAATAATGACTCATTTTCTTTCTTGTCCATCTAGCGTGGTAATTTTCTTGTTTACAGTTTTTCTTTTCGAAAAAATAATCCTATTTAGATAGAGTTAAATCGTTGTATAATTTCTATTGAATATCTTGATGGTTCATTTCCTACCCATGTAAAAATCGATAAAAATTTAATGATGTTAACGAAAAAAGATGTTACATTTTTGACCGTGAAAACGTGTTAAAAATTTACTTTTAATGAAACTTCACGCGTTTTTTCCTGTTAGAAACAGTTTAACGTGAAATAACTTGTGAAGTTTCGTTAACAACAAATTTTTAGCGCGTTTTCACGGTCAAAAAAGTAACATCTTTTGTCGTTAACATCGTTAAATTTTTATCGGTTTTTACATGGGGAGATGCTAGTTGTAATGGTTTCCTGGTTTATAATAAAATAGATATGTAACTGAAGCTGAAGAAAAATGACCGATAAATAGTTTGGTAAGATGTTCGCTATACTGGTGGTTGCCTCAGGTTTTACTAGTAGGATCAAGGTTTGACTCTACTGATTGATGATTTTATAATTCTAAGAATAAGTGTACATTACCGTAGACAGCAACTTTGAAAAAATTCACCGAACTAATTTATTGTCTATAATTATGTAGATTTATTCTAAGAGTCATAAAACTACAAATCGTTGAAGTAGCTAGTACTCATTGATTTATCTTCGCTTTATCATTTTGTAGTGTGAAATTGAAAATAGATGGCAACTATTTTTTTTTTAAACATATAATATGCTGTGAGTTAATATGTAATATAATAGCAAAAATACAATCATGAGAATATATAAATAAGAATGAATAGGACTGGAACTGACAACAACACGAAGTATTAAAATAGAATTA